CCTAACAGAAAGAACACTTACTACAATAAGCAAAGTAAATAAAAACTTCTAAGTAAGATGAGTTGTGGAATCATGAACGATTTTTCCCTATGGTATTTTAACGCCCCTCATAATTTGCATGATGAATGTAATTTAGTAAAAAATTCAAAACATGAGCACATCCTGAACATACCTTTTATATATATATATGGTGACTACTTCGGCGCACTCACAAAAATGAGTGCGTTCAATGCACCCAACTCAAAAACTAGTCTTAAGGAGTCGGATTTTGAATTTTAATTTGTAGAATTACTATAATATGATGATATAACATATGACAACAACTAATTAGTGGATTACCCTAAGCCCTAGACCTCCAATTTTGAGTTCTATTCCTAAACCCCAAACTGTAAACCCTAATCCTAACCTTAGATCTTTAAACTCTAAATCCTTCAAATTAAAGCAAATCTTTCATGGTTTTTGTGAAAATTCATGTGCGTTATCGTTCATCACATCATAAGTGATGATTGACATCATTTTGACATAAATCTCATGTTTAAAATGACGATTATGAAGCGAGTGCACTGAATGCACCCAAAAAAGTGAGTGCACCGAAAACACCACCATATATATATATATATATTCACATTTTACCCACCTTATATGAATTTCTGACTACGCCACTGCATACAAGAAATCTCATAAATCATATCAGAAGTTTCTTATAAACAGACCACAAGTTCCCTCAAACTCGTAGAAACCTCATAAAGCATACAACAACTGATCCTCCTTTACCTATCGGTCGAAATAAATTAAGAATATTCTTAAATTTTTCCCTTAAGGACAACGTCCAACTCTGACTCATCATTGGACCGTATAATATTTATTTTAACTATGAGTTTAAATTTGTTCGCACAAAAAAATCACATTTTTATGATCTACAAAATTATATTCATTTTATTATGTTTTAACTTTTTATGCTTTCATCGCATTGATATATCATGATTTTGGTTGCAGTTTCGTCCTGGTGTTTGAGATACATCATCCAAATATCTCGGTGTTATGTAGTATAAAATATCATATTATATTTAATTTTGAGATGGTGATTCATTTTTTCATGTTATATGGGACCTATATAGTTATGACAACAATCAATAAGCTCGGATCCTAGACATTTGTTTATGTTATGAAAATTTAGTTAAGATTAGAAAATAAGAAAAAAGATTTTATTTCATGAGGTTGTATTTACAATTCTTAAAATTAAATTTGGATATATGTGGTTTATAATATGACACATATATAGAATTGAGCCTTTTTTCTATTTTTAATTCACTCTACCCCAAATCTCAAGCGTTAGATTGAGCAAATGATAATGTTTCAAGAACATATGTATAGATACCTACTATAAATCTAGATCATAATACACACGTAGTCGGATCTATACTGTATAGTATTTTATCTAATCTATATTCCAACTTCTCGATTTTGGATCATAGACCTAGACCATATCCATATACCCGGTCTGACCAGACCGCATCCGTTCATCCCTACTCTAAAATGCCCCTCGTTGTATAAAAAATAAAGCCTTAATCATGTTTTAAGGGAATCCGCGGAACATACTGGAAAGACCTGGACTAGTCTAAGTCTTTGAAATCCATATATTGTATAACAATTAACAACAACCAGAAGCTAATTGTAGACTTAAAACGGATTAGCTAGCCGATCGAAACCGAGTGGATCATAAAATACAAGAAAATGAGAATGCTTACATATGAATACATATTAGAGTATACGAAACGACTAATTACAATATTACATGATTAGAGAAAAGTCACACGACATGTGTCGATAAAATCAACATAAAGAAATTAAATATGCTCATCATATGGACATATAAACTATAAATAGCCTTCTGCCCACTCTATTTCATCGATCAATCAACTCAAACTTGATATTTCCTTTCCAGACAGCAAATAAATTGGAAGAGATCAGAGTGAAAGAGACAGAGAAAAAGATGGCGGTAATTAATCATCATAGCAAGAAAATGGTGGTGCTTCTGCTGCTGCTTGTTCTGTTCATCATGGCGGCGCAGCCAACGGAGTCGACGTCTCGTCGCCTTCTCCAAACTGGTAACTTATACGCATAATAATTTGCCCTCCATTTATTAACGTACTCACATGCATTTCCATTATTATTGCCTTTTGGTTGTTCAATTAACGAAATTACGTTCAATCTGTTGGTGTATCGTTTTGATATATAGGTGGGCAATCTCCTCCTCCTCCGCCGCCGCCCAGTCTAGCCTCTCCGCCACCACCACCGTCTATGAGACCGCCGACCCCGCCGCCTCCACTGTATCAGGCCCGACCAAGCGTGTCAGCACCTGGAAGTAAAGGATGAAAGAAGAAGAAGAAGAAGAAGAAGAAGAAGAAGAAGAAGAAGAAGAAGAAGAAACACTAATTATGTTTGCTTGTATATTTGATTTGTACAAGCCCTTTATTCTTTGCTTTTATCAATATCAAGAGAGTTAAAATTATTTGAGATAATTCTCTTCAAACTAAGAAACCGCGTGGCTTTAGGATTACTTTTTCTTAGTGAATGCCAATCACCAATATACATTGGTTATGCATTCTCATGCGCAAATGGCCACCTCACAACACATGCATACCGTTTAATTATTACAAGTTTTTGCACTATCTTTTTTCTGCCAAACGAACCGGACTATAATTGTAATTAAACTTTTACTATACATAGACACAGGGTTTTCTAAATTACATCGCAACTAACTAAATACTCTAGTGAAACCTAAACAACTACTGACATATACCAACTTCGTACCAAAGAAAAAAATTATAACTAAAATAAGTGTGAGGGACCAAGAAAGGTTTGATCAAGTGGCCGTAATATCACTAGTTTTGAACCTGAAATTCCCAAATTTAAATTCCTTAAGTCTAAACCACATAAAATAAACTATCCTGGATTGATCTCTTTAGTATCATAGGGGAAAACATGCTCGTATATGTTGAGCTGGAAATTGTTGGAGGAGGTTCTTGAAGATGGTGTACAAACTTTTGTATTCAATCATGTAGATATGACAATAATGGAGGAGGTTTGTTGATATGACTTGAATCGGATTATCAGCCGTTACGACTGGTAATCGGGGGTCTCGCTGCCCGGTCAGCGAGTGGGGTCCAGGCGTACAACATCTTTGTTTTTCATCATTTTGGCGGGGCGAGTGGCCGGGTGGAGCGGAATATAGGAGGTAGCGGTGGTCAGCAGTCGAAATCGGTGTTAGAGAGGGTGCTCATTTTTTTGTGTGTGTTGCATTGTGTTTGTTATATTCTAAGAACGAAACATAAGAGATCGATTCAAAGATAATCTTAACTTTTAAATTCGAAAAATATAAGTAAAAACGAGATGGAAAATTCAACAATTCTCATTCAAGTAAATCAACATCTTCCTCAACTACAACTTCACGGGTAAAGTATATATGCAGCTTAATTGGCAAGTTTGTGTGGGTAGAAAGATTAATGGCCTCAACAGTTATATCGACAATAATAAGAACGTGGCCGCAACATTCTCCGGATGGACCAAAGGAGTGATGTCAAAGAAAGGTTTGTTGCACGCACGCAATATGATGGAAGAACATATGGCGGGAGAGGAACCTCAGAAATTTTCGAAGATAACCATTGCCTCCGAAAGTGGTATGGGAAAATTCTTAGGTTCAATCTTAATTGGACGAAGAAGGTTCAACCTGCCACATTTTCAGTTTTTTATTAGTCAGTTTATTTTTTTATATTTTAATTATTGATTTATTTATCATAATTAAGAACATTACATATTAAGTAAAATGGAAGGTGAGTCCACCAATAATAAATTGACATTTGATAGATTAGAACTTTTTTGTACAATAAGATTGAGCTAAGAATTTTTCAGTAGTATGTTACAGAATTGGAAGGCTACTTTCGGAACGATTGATTTGTGCAAAGAAGGTAGACATTACAATTGGAGAAGGTTGACTGCTAGGCCTGCAACAAGGTTTACTCACCATCCGATACATGATGATATGAGACGAAGGCACTAGCGCTAAAGACTCACAAGGTTTAGGTATATAAGGTGGCGGACTAAAAATTTTGTGATAGATGTGTCGACACATAAAAATGATGAAATCATATTCCAACGTTGATAAGAGAATGTCCAATCAGTCGATTAACGATAAGGTCAATCACTATTTTTTCCTTGTATCGTAATGATACATTTGTGTCAAGTGGTTGACTATTTCAACAAGTAGTTGACCATTTTGTCGAAATCATCATGATTTGCAAATAACCATCACAAAGTCCTAATTGTTGTTGATTACTTGTTCAAAATATCAAATTATTATATTTTCCATTTTTTTTAAATGTTGCTTCTCATAAGACTACCCCTAAACTCTTTCATTTCTATATATCACGATCACTAGATTAATCATAACCTAAAGTACCGATAAATTTAGGAAAATTCTTGAACTTTATTATGCAATGCAAGGACTTGGTCTATCCGTTTTCTATTGTAAAGATATATATATATGGAAAACAAATTATGTTATCATGAAGTCGCTTAGGAGCCCCTAATCCCTTTCAAATTTCATTTAACTTCGGTTCTATGGAACTTTTTTTTTTTTTTTGAAAAGTGGTTTGCGTGGATTTCCAAAGACTTGACCGTTTCCATGTTCCGCGGATTAACGTCAGAAAGTCTACGTAAATGTCTCTGTTTGCGATGTATCAAAATTTGGCAGCTACTATATACTAATTAATGCAGTTGTTTACACTAGTCTAGCCTGCTCTACCACACCAATATTGGAGTATATATGGAAACGGTGTCGTCTGTGGGTGTGGGGGCACGTGCGAACGTGTATAGAGAAAAGTCGTACGCATATGCATCAATCAATCTGACTACTTCAATTTCACAACGCGTGTCGACGAATTGCCTCATCGATATAAAACATTATAAATACAATAATACCTTTCTGGACTGCCAATTTTAATTCATCCGCCAATATTCCTAACGCAAAATTCTTCTTTCTAAGAGCCCAAAAAAGTTGAGAGAGAGAGACTATGGCAGTAATTCGGAGCAAGAAATTTGTTGTCGACCTCCTGAAACCGGTGCTTCTCCTGCTGCTTCTTTTGTTTACGGCGGTGCAATCGACCGAGTCTCGTCGCCTTCTCCAAAATGGCCGGCCATCATCTCCGCCGCCGCCGTTTACGAGACCGCCGACACCGCCCCCTCCAGCGTATCAGGCTCGGCCAAGTGTATCGGCGCCGGGAAGGAAAGGATGAAAGAAGAACATATATACGAGGTCGAGACGAAGAAGAAAAATAAACACCGAGCTTTGAAATTGATTGTGTTGTTAGTTGGTAGCTTTGTGCATTAATTGAAGCTTAAACTGGCCACCGTACGTAATTTGTTTGCCACCCCCTGCGTTGTCAGCTTTGAAATCTGTCTTGTTGGGTCTCTTGGAGAAGTTCTCCGTTTCCTCTGTCCATAGTTGTCGGCATATTTGCCTGCGCGCAGCGTTAACTAAAAAACAATCCTTTTGAATAACTAGCTTATAACCCGCCCATTAGTCGGAATATTTATATTTGATTATTTATATTTTTATGTTGCGTTTAAGCTACTCAACCGGTTTAACTTTATTTTCAATCCTTCGATCAAGATGATACATAAAGAAAAAATATATAAGTCTATCATCATTTAAGAATATAAAATATAAAATGTATCATTAATTCTATTTTCATAATGAAAATTAAGTCCTCGTTAAAATGCTATTGGTTAGTTGATTGTCAAGAAAGAGGGTATAAAAGCTCAGTGAAATTCCACACAACCCATAGATAGTTTGAAACTAAATCTTAAACCTCACAATCATACATAAGGGTTTAATGCGCTCCTTTTATGAACAATATGACACTAATCAAAAAGAAATGGAGAGTTGTTGATTAAAGTCAACTATATACTAACAACTCAGCTAAGAGGGGACCATCAAAACTTGAGAGCAAACGACAAAATTAGGGTTATCTCCAACTACTAATAGACTCAATCAAAGTAATAAGGCACAAAATTAGACACTCCTTGTCTATCAGTTCCAGTAGGTTAAATAAAGAATCGACCTACTTCAATAAATCAATCAATGATTCCTCGTTTTAAGATAGAAATAGGTTGTGATAGATGTAAAAACCATAAATATAAAGATCCAATAGCCACCACTCTTCGTTGTACAACCAAATTTTTATCTCAAGAGATATATGTTTCAACCAAAACTTCTAATCCTCCTTCTGCAACTCCATTATTTATTAAACTCTTTCACTTGCCCAACTTAAATCCCCAATAATAAAACCGACGTGCCAAGAGATACCAGATGATTTATTTTCAAAAGCGACCTTGTACTTGGAAGTGAAAGGGGCGCAACCTATTGTACGATGAAGAGAATTTTCGAAGAAGTTAGAAAGAGATATAAACAAAGATAAAAACTACAAAATTTAAATTGAAAAATGCAAGGACACAACACGTAGTGACAAAATTAGTTTTTTTTCCATGTTAGCCAATTACCAATTTACCTTTAGCAAAAATTAAGGAGAGAGAAAAAGAATTTTAAAATTGAGAAAGTACATGAAACTCGACAATGAAAATTGAAGTATCAAGCACTATAAAAATACATACGGTATTCTTAGTGGGCTTGCTAATCATGATGGAAAGTCCTGCGATTTTCAAAGAGTTGAACTTCGTGTATATTTTGTATTGAAAAAGATACAACATTTGTTTAGTGTAAATGGTTGTGATTGTTGTCTTTGTTTGAAGAGACCCGAGTTTAAATCCTGATGTTGTTATTTTTATGTGAGATAAATTATTAATTGTAAAGACAAAAATATCCTTCCCACTTTCACTCTCGTTACAGGAAATTTGAAATGGAGAAAAGTACACAAAAGTGTATTATATTATTGGGGGATAAATTATGTTTAATCTAACCAGCTAAATATATGTAAGAGCGAAAGTGATCATTTCAATTTATCCAGCCAATTAAGTTGACTATATTTATGTGCCACTCAATTTGATTCACATCAAGGTTGTCAAATAGGGTTAAGTCATTGAGCCGGTCAAGCAAGAGATCAATCGAGGTTTATTGATCTGATCGGGGTCCGACCGCGATTTGAGCCATTTTATACGTTCTCTAAATATATGTAAAAATCTGGTAGTAATTACAAATTTAGTTACTTAAATGAAATTTATCTTGCATATATCTATTAAAAACTTATTTCTCACAAAATAAAATCTACCTAACCTTGATTACCCACCCACCATTAGCCTTCCTTCTTTCCCATGCTCCCTTTCCTCTATCTTCTTCTTCCTCTTTAGAGGTTAGACCAAGGTGTTTTTTGGAGGCCATTTTGAAATTTGTCTAAAGTCGGACCGAATTCAGCCAAAGGCCGATAAATGTTTAACAACCTTGATTCACATCCTCGAAACTCGCAGAAAGAGAGCGCAGCAAGTAACGCTGCCAAGTTGGCATTTGGTGCATTCATCTGGCGCATATAGTACTTTGTTCTTTTCTTTTTGGGCCATGAGGGACCTTTTTTTTTTTTTAACAGTACTGTAGTAATTAGTAAAGCAAGCAGGCTATGAATTTGCGTCGAAGAACAAGATAGTCAACTATGTGTTGCCGCGTTGGCCCAATGTCTGTGTTCTGTACTTTTACATAGTAGCTAGTATATTCATTAGACTAGCTAGTAGGGTAACGTAGTCAGCATCCCAAACAAACCATTAAAAAAAACAAAGTAGCACTTGCATGAGTTTACATTCGAGTTATGCAGTAATGACTATAATTAACTTTACGGCGATGTATATAATTAAACAATTAACATATTATGCGGTTTGTAGTATATGGTACATGAGAGTTATGTACAAAATACATACGGATGTTTTACTTCGTCTTTAAACGAATATTGTGTTTCACAGTACGTTAATACTCATGAATATATAAAATTAAATATTTTAAAATTAAATATTTTAAAATTAAATATATAAATAATAGTAAAGTTAACAGTTTAATTCATTAAATACAGCTATTAAAAGTGGTATACAGAATTTATATGTGTTTACTACCGAAGCTATCAAATGAACGAAAAAAAATGAAACGACTTGACAATAATACAAATATGAAAGTTTTAAATAAATACAATACATACGAGTATATATACATGTATTAAAAGGTGTATTTACTAATATATACGGTGTGCCACTTGCCAAATTGGCCAAAGGAGAAACACTCGGATTTTCTAAAAGTCCGGGAAACACACGGAAGAGAGTCAACTCTTTGAAATCCCAATAATAACTTCGAACGACAACCACGGCCAAGTTGTAACTTTTAAAAATGGGTTTGTTTAGCTCCCTCGATCGAAAGCGGCGAGTTGACTAAATTATAAACAACAAGAACTATATTATTGATCTATGCATAGTAAGTACTAGGTAGACAGAGTAGGATATTATTGTAATGCATATGGGGTTCGAGTATTAAATGACTACAGAAAGTCGTATATAGTGATGGCAAATGGGTGGCGTGGACGAGTATTTCAATATCCATATATGCTTCGAATCAAGTGTGGGTCGGATAAGTAATACCAGTTCGGGTACGAAGCAGTATGGGTCAATTATAATAGAATGGATAATTTATTCTAATTAGTTGAAAGTTAAAATTTAACTAGTTGAAAAATAAAGTAAACATAAGATTAATATGAATAAGTATTGTAAAATAATTGAAGTAGAATAAGTCAAAAATGGGAGGAAACGAGATATGACCGGTCGAAATACCCATACCAGTCTCATGCTACTGCGAGTGAGATAATACCCGTCCAATCACCGATCAAGTCGAGTAATACCCAAGACTGCTCAAATTGGGCAAGGGAACTTTCAACGAGGCAGGGAGAACATTAACAACTCGAGTCATTAAACAAATGCCCTCATGTACGTGTATAAGGGAACCATAAATAGCCTTCTCGATTGCCCATTCTAGCTAATCCATCAACCAAGAGAGAGAGAGAGAGATGGGAGCTAGTCGGAGCAAGAAAACAGTGGTGGGATTAGTCCTGCAAATGATGCTTATCGTCGTGTTGCTTCTGTGTGTGTTGCCGGCGCAACTAACAGAGGCCCGTCGCCTTCTCAAAACTAGAGGTAAGTAACTAGTGACGTATTCATCCTAGATAGGCTACACATGATACACAGACTCCACTTGGATTTGGTCATCTTATTATGTTATGTCTCGTGTCCCTGTCGTTTTCTTAGGTCGTCGATCTCCTCCGCCACCCCCGCCGCCCCATCTATCCTGCAGGCCACCGCCGCCTCCGCTCAGAGAATCGTCTCGGCCGCCGCCTCCGCCCAGTTCATCCTCTATGTGGCCGCAGCCACCGCCCGGCGTATCCACTCCTCCTCCGACGCCGTATAAGAAACCACCGACTCCGCCACCACCTTCTTTTCAGCCTAAGCCCAGCCTGTCACCGCCCGGAAAGAAAGGATAAAAACAAGAAGAAAATACTCGCCCTTATTAATTATTTGTTTTTTTTTCTTCTTTGGTAGAATTTGTTTTTTTTTTTTATATTTGTAATTGACTTTGAAGCGATGCCAAATATGTTGTATATGTATGAACCTACCAACAACTATTGTCATCACCAGAGTTTCATCGATTCAAAAATTCGTGTGCAGTTCTTTTCCTATTATCATATTTCGTGTGCTCTGCTCTTTCCCACACCCTGATCATCAACTTGACTAATGCCCTAGATAACCAACTGCAAAGCAAATTTACAAACAGCGCAATGCAGTCTCGTATATCTACAGAACTCCGCGACTAGCGAGGCAAACAGCCCTCCATTACATTAGAGCATTTCACAGAACCAAAAACACCAAACGCAGTGAAGTATTCTTACATGTTGGGATCGTGTCTCAGTCTACATCAGCAAAGTACCTATCCTCTGCATCACGGGTTGCTTCCTGGTGCCAATGATCATCCAAAGTTTCATCGTCATCGATTTTTTCGTAATCTAAATGCTCATGGTCTTCACCGGAGAGGAACTTCTGGTGCATGACAGTGGTGAATTGGTCCATCCTGTCTTCCATTTCCTCAGCTGACAAATTTTCATCCTTGTCCGGTTGCTCTGTAGCTGATGGGGCACTTCCAACACTCTGAAGACAGGAACAGCAGGTATCACAATATGAAAATGGCCAAGATAGAGCAATTTCATCAAAAGCTGACCAGGTGGTTAATGTATTGGGAGATCATCAATTGAAGACATTTTCACCACCAGTTCTTCAGGATGAAGTAATGAAACCACTAATCTTGAACTACTACAAATAATAAGTAACGAAACCGGGATATCATAGCACATGCTACAGCATGCAACATTCATCAATATAGTAATATTCTTGACACTCTATGGATAATTTTTACTTCAATGGGTTCACCGTCGGCTGGTTTGGAAACTAATACTTGAAATAGCTAAACAACATTAAATGAAGGAAGTTTGGTGTCAATAACCTGCAACACTGGTCCTCAGGGCTAAATGCTAACAGGATTTAAGTCTTACAAACTACGACATGTATTCATACATTCATGATGCATTTAAGAAAAGGTTCTAGTCTTTCCCAGTGCAGCTGATATGCAATGCCTAAACAGAACAATGGAGCAACCACACCTTAAGCCAAATGTTAAGGAACTGCATTTTTTCCCTAAAGAATTCAAAATAACAGAGAGAATCATATGGCAGTGGCCTCATGAATGAGAAAACATTTAACATCAAGAAATTTCAGGGAAATGAAGATCACAGACCACAAGTGACACAGACCCAAGGGAATTTGTAGCATATTATCATTGTATTTCTCTAGATAAATAATGTAATGAGTAGGGAAAATAACAATTTACCACAGCAATTGAACGATCAGCAAATAGAGAGCAAGGTAAATAACATACTTGAGTTTTCATTGCTCCTTCAACCTCGTCATCATCATCATCTTCTTCTTCTTCTTCCTCCTCTTCCTCCTCTTCCTGCTGCTGGTTTCCACCATACGCAACCCATTCACTCTCAGGGACTCCTAACCTCTGCTGTTCCTCCCTAATCTTCGAAACCAATATTGCCTCCTCGGACCTCCTAATCAATGTCTCCGACCACCGCTCCCCTGGCCTAGCCATGCTCCTAGCAGTCTGATCCTGAAACTTACCGACAAACTCATGATGCAAATACGGCTCTCTGTGCCTCATTGCATCCTCGGAGAAATAGTTACCACCATCTATCAGTTTATTCAGGTAAGCAAGCCTCCGATTCTTCACCGCCACAGACTTCGATCGCAAATCCTCAGCAGTGGGACTCAGTTTGCTTTTGAGGTTCTTTAAGTGCCAGCTTATCTCATAGTCATTGCCAAGCGGATCAAACTCATGAAGCTCGTCAACAGTCAATTGTCCTCCATATCGTTCTAATTCGACACGAATTCAGTTAAAACACAGCCCTCGGCAGTAGGAAATCCAACTTCAAATCACGAAGAAACAAGCAACTCATAGGCCATCTTGAAAAGGAAAAATTAACCCTAAAATTCTCCGATTTCTTAATCCTAGCGAGAGAACATCTGTAAGTTAAGCATCCAATCGAAACAAAATAACAGCGGTAAGAAAGGAGGAGAGAGGAATTACCTAAGAAGACAGCGGGATCGCGAGAGAGAAGGTCGTGCAGGAGAGACTTCCGATGGGAAGGATCGGCGGCGTCGGACTGTAGAGCGCGAGGGAAGTAGAGGTTCTCCAAAGAGGAGAGCCTCTCTGTTATGTTTTCCATGCCTTCTTTCGCAACCGTAGCTTGAACTTTTTGTCCTTTTGGTTCTTCCATCGTGGTTCCGTCTTTCGCTCAGGTGCTGCGGCGATGCTGATATTGCTGTTCGGCTGTTCCAACGCCGCCGTTGAGGATAGAGGAAGGAGAAGTAATAGCAGAGGGGCGGTGGTTCAAGGCGGTGGGTTGGTCGGTTTCAGTGTTTTGTTTCCGGGTTCCGATTCGAGACATTGTGGTTAGTAAATTCTGATGGGCTTCTTACTTGAATTGGAACGAGTATCTGGGCTGGGCGGGATTTGATTTGAAGGACTGGCCCAATTGTTTCTTTTGCTTTTTGTTGAACATGGCCCAATTATTCTACTTCTTTCACTCTTCATGCACAGGTCTTCCATGGTATCCTCCCCTCTCTACGCCTTCGGTCTTGGTTTAGGCATGATCTTTGCAAACAAATAACACACGCATATGTTATTCTAGGGGATCAAAAGTGTATACGCACAATCTTTGTGACCAAGATACATTATATACCGGTGAATAGACTTTCTCCCACTAGGGGTAAGTGTTCTTTGTAGTTTTTAATAAACTGTAGCCTTTAATCCAAAGGATGTAGCTACCAGAGGATTAAACCATCCTATAAACTACAATTCTCTTGGAACCTTAGTTGGACACTAAGAACAAAGTTCACCATACAAGCTGTTTGAATTTTGATTTGGATAATCAACCATAGAAGGAATTTATTTGTAGGCACAACAAGCCTCTTCCAAATAGTTGAAAATCAAATATCCTTTGCTCGACGAGTACGCAAGAAATCCTATAAAAACCGAACCTAGTATTTGGGCATAGCAACATTATTACATCTGAGGCAAAAAGATACCTCTGGACCTTAGAATGAAAACGGAAAAGCTTTAGCCAGTTTCAAGATCCACATTCCATCATAGGACTAGAAATCCTTATGTTTCGAATGTATTCGCAGACCTAGAAAACCCACAACAACCCATACGTGCCTAACAACACACGCTATATTTCATAAGACAATATCCAAAATCCCCAATACACCGTCTGGCTTAGGAAAAGTGAGATTAGGCAAAGCAATAATATCTTTAATAGAGTTCAAACAAGCACATCCCAAAAGAAGTCAATACATTGCTTATCCTCCTCCCTAATAGAAGTTTACCAACATAACTCATTTCTAACCATGACTTTGAGAAGTTATATTGTTAATAAAGGGACCCTAATATATCTCATATGAAAGTCCCCAACTTATAGCTCTATCTATCATCCGAAGCTAGAAATCAATAAGAAGACCCCATAGAATATCCCACATTTACCTAGACTAGAACCAAGACTAAACAACCTTTTGAATTAAACAAGTATCTTTTGAATACATGAAACCTAAGCTAATCTCATCCAAAAAATACATAGATTTGGTTGGTCCCTAATGGGACTAGGTAGAATCACTTTATCGTTCACTGCTCGGCCTAACCACACTTGATCTGTCCAATCAACCGTCAAGGTGCATCGGTACCTAGATCTTAATTTGACAACAGAAGTAGTTATTCATCAATGGTGCGTGTTGTTCTATTCCCCAAAGGATAGACACATTACCAATGCCTAATTGAACCCCATAGATAGACCACTGTCAAAAGCAATGACCATAGAACTACACACGCATCATATCACTTAGTGGCCATACATGGAATTGAAAGAAGCAATGAGAAGTTTTGAAGAACGAGTAGATTTATGTCTCTTAGGTGACACTGGCAGTCCTTGTTCGAAGATGAACTAAGAAACTCTGTAAATGCAAGCAAACACATCCAATATAAAAAATTGATTTTCCCATGGCAATCTGGGTAGCAAAACCATTAAATTTTCATGCACATGCACTCTTAGAAGGATCACAATGCGAAGAAAGATTTGAAGCCAGAGTAAGGAAACCATCATTAACATGGACACCGCCTAATTACTATCCAACATTTAATGTGGAAGCAAACAATTGACATAATGGATGGAATAAACGATATCATTCACTATTCCTTCTCAACAAGATAGAGGGATCAACAGGTTCTTGAACAAGAAAGAAAACTATACTTAGACTAACCTGAGTGGATGAAAGGCTCTCCCAATTTGATTTGTATGGGGAAGAAGCTTATCAAAGTCTCGATGATAAGAGCCTTTAGAATTGATCATGCACCTTTTGAATACATTAAAACCTAAGTTAATCCCATCCAAAAAATTAGAAGTTTGTCAGCAAAACAGTGGTGGGTTGAAGAGACTCTTTTACATAAGGGTTTATAGAGAAAATCCTAAGATTATTACTCCAAACAAATAAAAACATACCTAGATTCAAGTGGTCCCTAATGGAAACCACCTAATCACTATCACAACGTTTGATGTTGAAGCAAGAGATTGACATAATGGATGGAAGTAACAAGATAATTCACAATTCATTATCTTCTCCACGCTAGACAAATGGATCAACAGGTTCCTTGAACAAGAAAGAAAATTATACTCAGACTAACATGAGTTCAATGTAGTCAAAATCGCGCTTTAAAACTTTAAAAATAACAATTTTACACTTCTAGGTCACCAAAACTTCAAAAATTACGCTTTTACACTTTTAGGTTCTCCCAATTTGGTTTACGTGAAGGAGAAGCTTAATTATCAAAACCTCGACGATCCTACAAATATAGACGAGCAACTCTCTTGCTTATCCAACTCTCCAACAAACACAAAATTAATCTAACGAATTGAGCATTTTTTGAGTTCATTTGAAATGTTGAATATAATGGGCCTTTGAAGCTCAATCTTTTAGCTGGCACCTAAAATATAAGAACAATTATTGAATAATCGTCAAACAAGTTTCTCTGAAGGGTACGAGCTTCAAATAAATGATCTCTCGACTCCACAGTATTATGAGAAAAATCACAGTCTATCTGGCCAGAATAACCTTACACAAGCATCTTATCACATGTTTGAAATTTGTTTTGGATATAGAAGAAGCCCCTTTGAAACAATTGGAAACCAGGCATCCTTTGCTTGATGAGGACAAAACAACTCCCATATAAAATGAGCCTGGTACTTAGGAATGCCAATATGATTACAATACACTAGACTGTTTTAGGAAAAACATATACTTCTGAACCTTAGGATGAATCCAAAGATAGTTGTGCCATTTCCAACTTCAATATCCACATTCTCCTCATAAAGATTGGCAATCCTTATGTTTCAAACCTATTCCAAGACCTAGTTTACCCACAACAAAGCATATGTGCCTAAAAACACAAGCTAAATTCTCAAAAACAATATCCTAAATCTCCAATCCACCATCTACCTTAAAAAATGTGATTAGGTCCAGCAATAATAGCTTCAATTGAGTTCAAACATGCTCACCTCGATAGGAGTCATTAGTCATTACACTGCTTTTTCACCTCCCTAATAAAAGTCTACATGCTTACCTCATTTCTCACCATGAATTTGAGAATTATGTTGTCAATAAAGGGCTTACAAGTTATTATCGAGAGCTTCTGGCTATTAAAGGGATCTCAAGACATCTCGGATGAAGAGTCCCCAACTTATAAAAAGCTCTACCTGAGCCCCACAGAATATCCCACAATTTCCATGATTAGTTTTAAGGCCATAAAATATTTTGAATTGATCAAGTACCTTTTGAATACATTGAAACCCAAGTTAATTGATACGCTAAAACACCACCAAACTACGACCAAGTATAATCGCAGTCCTGAAATGCAGAATAGTGGCAAGTTCAATTTATCAACCCGGGGTCTAGATCTACTGCCTACTCCGTGATTATCTATTATCTAGCGAGACTAAGTTTAGTGAGAGTGATTGTAAACAAAAGCAGTAAGAAAGCATGAAATTGTTCGGTTTTCATAGGCAAGGGGAGAGTCACTCGGGAATGAGTCCCCCTAGCTCGTTAATTAGGTCCAAGTTGTAATTTCCTTTGGTTGATTTACTGTTGATTAAACTGCTGAAGATCCGATAGTAGCTTGGAATCTCTTAAGCTGACCAAGCCCTCTTAGACAGACTAACCGGCAGGCGACTAGCCTTCACCAGGATAGAATGCTGAGGCAATTAACACAAAACTCCACTACTGGAATTTGATTCCAGTACAAAGCAGTGAATCGATTAACTCTCGTATAATCAATTCACTACTACCGATTGAAGAAGCTCTAACAACCTAATCAAATTCTATCTATCTCAGGTTGCAGCAGAAATCAAGAAAAGTTGATCAGACTTCAATTGACTCAATAAACACACTTCAAAAGATTATAATCAAGCAGTATCTCAAACCAAAAGTCATTACAAACATGATCCCTAACACATGGAACTAGGGTTCTTCATACCCAAGTGAGAGAAGGGTCTACTCCATAGAGAGAGAGAGAGAGAGAGAGAGAGAGAGAGAGAGAAACAGAATTCAAAGAGTCATACTCATAATGACGGGAAGAATATGCTTTGGGATGATAATATTCACTCCAAGGACGAAATCCAAGCTTGATTGATGAAACCCAGCTCCAAAATCAATCCTAGGGTTTGTTCTTCGCTTCTCTCTCCAGGACTCTGTTTTTGCTCTCAAAATTCGTCTCCCTCTTCAAAGACCCAAAATTGGGTTAAGAAGCAGCAGTCCGCGATTGTACGGCCAGACCGCACGACCCTGCAACCTCATAGTCTGCCAGTGCACCCCTAAAACGCGTCGTTTCATTTAATTCCACCAGGGGGCGCACGGCCTGTGCACGGCCCGTGCAATGCGAGAGCCTGGACGTGCAATCCTCTCGCTGAAATCATCACGACCACCAATTTATATCGCACGGCCGTGCGAAAAACAGGGTCAGGCTGTGCAGATTCTCGGTAAATCCTGCACGGCCACAAAGGCCACCATGAACGGCCGTGCGCTTTCACGTCCTGGCTGTGCAACTTGTATGATCTCCCTTCGCTCGTCCCGATTTCGCCCAATCAAATCCAAGCTCGTGCTCAAACCTTCATTCACGCATTAAGACCTGAAATATCGTAAACAAGAACAACCTAGCGTAAAATCGGCTTAAAAAACCCGAGATCCGAGCCTCAAACAGTATAAGAATGGCGGACAAAAACATGTGTAAATATTGAGTCATCAAATTCCCCCACATTTAACTGTTTGCTTGTCATTTAATTCCACCAGGGGGCGCACGGCTAGTGCACGGCCCGTGCAATGCGAGAGCCTGGCCGTGCAGAAATCAACACGGCCACCAATTCATATCGCACGGCCGTGCGAAAAACAGGGTCAGGCCGTGCAGCTTCTCGGTAAATCCTGCATGGCCACAAAGGTCACCATGCACGGCCGTGCGCTTTCCCGTCCTGGCCGTGCAACTTATCTGATCTTCCTTCGCTCGTCCCGATTTCGCCCAATCGACTCCAAACTCGTGCTCAAACCTTCATTCACGCGTTAATACATGAAATGTCATAAACAAGAACGTAGCGTAAAATCGGTTTAAAACCCGAAATTTGAGCCTCAAACAGTATAAAAATGGCGGACAAAAACATGTGTAAATATCAACTCATCATTAATCTCATCCAAAAAAATTAGAAGATCGCCACTAAAAAATTGCTGGGCTGAACCGACTCATTTACAGAATGTGTTATGCAGCTTCATCTAATAAACAAGTTAAAAATTTCATATCTATAACAATTAGGTAATGAGACATATGGTCTAACATGCATCCCCCATTGAATCCCACTCTAAACATCACCCATATAGATCCAATTAACGAAAACATTTGGGAATGCCAATGCAATTAGAACCTTGAAAATATAAACACAATCTACTGAATAAAAGACGTTCGTTAGGTTGACTATTAGACTAGGAGATCGTTATCTATGTAAAATAAATAAAAAACTAATGTAACCTAAAAACTTAAAAATTGTTGCGAGAAATTTAAGAATATAACTTTTCTAGTTTATTTACATGTCTCAATGATTACACAACCACATATATCCCTATATCTTTGTGCATAGAAATTAAATATCAATGTTTAGGGTTACCGTTACTTAAATCCATAAGAGCATCTCCATCAATGCAATTGCAAAAGAAATTGCATTTGTATTTTTTATTGTCAACTCAAATTTTTTTGCAGTCCACGTCACATTCTTTTCATTCACCTATATCAATGCAATTAACTTGCAATTGCAAATGTAATTAAATATTATGTTTAAATTATAAAAAAATAAGTAAAAGAGAAAAGAAAATAATATAAAATAAAAAATCTCCATTTTTGTAGGCTTTTTTGACTTGCATATGGAATTGCAAGCTTGCAAATATGCAATTGATAGCCACATCAACGCAATTAATTCTGCAATTGCAAACATCTATGTCATGTATCATTGTGTTAATAAACCACGTAAATCGTTTGTCGTATGAATGTTTGCGCTTTCGTTTTCTTGATTTGTCGAATCCTCCTATTACCCGATCCCCAGAAAACAGTCGTGACAATAATCATCTTAGCAATTGCTAAAGGTGAGGGATGAAGATGCTCTCATAATCAAAGTCCAAAGACTGATTGATTCTCTGCCCTCGTTGCAAGGTAACTGATGATGGAAGGAAAGCTCGAGTCAAGTCACAATTACGGTGGTGGACTGCAGGCTACCTAGCTAGCTACAAACCAATTAAGGGAGACTAGCTAGCTGAAAGTAATTCAACCCCAACTACGTACGTACGTATTACGCGTATAACACAGGCCACGGAAAATGGTGACCTGGAAAAAAAAAGAGAGGATAAAAATAGAACAGAAAAATCAACCATATAATACACATCCAAACCCAGGACACAAAGAGATAGAAGAGAGAAAGCAAAAAAGACTAATTAAACACAATTCCAAAATGGCTACCTCTTCCATCTCCACGTTCTCCATTGCAATAATCGTCCTCTCCATCTTCCACTTCAACTCCGCAAGAGAGCTGCTGGACCTTCCTTCACTTGGTAATTAAGCTCAAAGCTCACCACTCTCTAGTTTTCCTTTTTCACTACTGTCGTCATTGACTCAAATCTTTCCATGTGTTTATATTCTCAGGGAGCAATACGCCGGCGGGTTTCTTTCCACCGTCGGCGGCGGGTGGCGGTAGTACTCCAGTCAATAACGTCAACTTCACTAGCCAGAACAAGGGCCCGGCTTACGGCCAAGTGGTGGAAGTCAACGGCAAGCCGGAGTCCGAAGTCGGCACGGTTAACGGCCAAAACGGAAAACCGAACGTGGAAGGGACGTCCCACGATGGATCCCAAACGGCCGTAGTGAACGGAACTGCTACGGGGACGTACACAAACGGGAACGCCCAGGGGACCATGTACAACGGTAACGGCCAGCCGGTGGTCGAGGGCGGGACGTCAAGTAACGGGGATGTGAACGTTACTATTTACGGCAGCAACGGGCAGCCGATGTTTCACTACGAGACTCCACCCAAGGGTTAACCATTGCATGTCTAGTGTACATGCAAGTCTACGTAATAATAAAGTTAGTTTGTGCTTAAGTTCGTCATCCACTAAGTTCATGAAATACTATAAGCTAAGTGTGGATTGGTGGGGATTTTAGGGACTGGCCTTCTTAATTTCTTTTGGATTGGCAATATTTGTGAAGAAAAAATAATGTGAGTGATGGGTGGATTATTATTATTATTATTATTATTATTATTATTATTATTGTATATAATAGAACTAAAGTCTTTAAATTTTGTGTTTGAATTTCATTATTAACAAATGTTGGAAGAACAGAACGGGAGTATCGATGAGCTGGGTATAGCAGGCGGTTCACATTTTAGTAGCATAACTGGTGTTAAGGTGTTCAAATATCTTAAATGGACCGGTCAAATTAACATATTATAAATATACAATATAACATATTAGTAAATGATAATAAAATTCTTAATTAAACTTCTTCTGACTAGTAACATGTTGCAATGAGCCACATGATCAACTTTCAAATTGAATAATACGAAAATCGTGAATGGTTATAAGGTAGCTCGATCAGTGCTTTAAAGGGTTCCATGGCTGGCTCTTATGAAAATGAAAGTCTATTAAGATATATTACAAGTTTCGTCACTGAAACTACTAAAACAATTTCACGTTTGTCATTGTTAACTCTCTTGGAGCCTCTCTCCATATGTTCTCATCCACAAAATGAATTATTGACTTTGACACCAATTTATAGACAAGATCACCTCATTTCGATCTAATAAATAGTTTATATTTTTTTACAGTCAATCTAATAGTAGTACTATTAGCTCGCGCTTTAATGACAGACTCTGCTAACACGATAACACTCAGAATTTTTGCGCCCGGGATAGCAGAAATGTGTGATCAGCAGACGATTGTTCACTACTGATCAAAACCCGGCCCAAAGCTCGACTGATTGAGTCAAAGTGACAATTACGTTGGTGGACTGCAAAGCAAGCTAGCTACGGTCCAAAATCTGGACAGTGGAGACGAATTCCCTTCAGTCTTCATGTCTACATCTGACGATTGAGCCCGCCAGCTTTCCTGATATTGATCATTATTACTGATTTAAACTATTGCATACATATAATTATGAACTCCATTTTCGCGGTATACGTCCAATGCAAGTGCCATATAATTATGAACTCCATTTTCTCTATAAATTAATAAATATAAAATAAATTTCGTTCCGAGTAGAGCCAAATGTAAAAAAAGGTCAAATTTGATAAAACAATATAAATTTATATAAATAAAAATCACCAATATACATAAATACTTGTATTTTCAATTCAATAAATTAACAGGTATAAATTTATAAAAATAAAAATCACCAAGATATTACAATATAACTAAGTTATCTAGTAAATTATGATTCTACAGTTTTTTTTTTCCTGGTTAAAGTTCAAGTCTAGTAGGAGTTCATATTGAACTTTCGCCATTGAAACAAGTAGTTTCGAAGAGCCGATGAGGCTTTAAGCACTTCCTTTCTGGTGACCGGTTACAGTGGCGTAGCCAGCGTTCATGTTTTGTGGGGTCCCATTTACAAAAAAAAAAAAGGTAACATTGTATTCAATTATTAAGTAAATTTTCTTAAAAATATTAAGTCAAGTAGTCGTTCATCAAACCATTAGTTATAAGATTTGTAACTTACATTTTGTGTAACTCATAATTAAAAAATGGCATTTCAATAACTAGCTAAAAGAAATAGTTACCAAGCAAAATCTAATACACACAAACGTTTTATAAAACACATTTGATGACAAAGAAATTGTATATTGATAGAAAACATTTGTTGAACTAAGAGTTTTTTAGATATAGTTGGAGGTTTTTGTACACTTATTTAGTAGAATTAGAAATTTTTAGGATAAGGACTATAAATTTGGGGATTTTCAATAATATATGATAAATATAGTCTAATTTATTTGTGTGTTTCATAATACTAGGACAATTAAATTCCATATGAATGTGGTCCTAAATTCTAAATCTACTCAAATTAAACAAGTATGTACATACATTCAACCATTTTAATTTATCCAAGTGGGGTCCTAGGACCCCACTCCCTTCCACCTCCCTCCGCCACTGACCGATTACAAATGAGTTGAATCATCATCTCTTTCATCTCTCGCTTGATGTTGGGGGAGTTTGATGATGGGCAATGCAACTCTCAATGACGTCCGCCACAATTTCTTCTAAATTTTGTGCCTCGATATATATCTTCATCATTTTTACCTGGATACTCTAGCAACTGACTAAGATAATACAGTGAACCTTAATAATTTAGTTTACCAAAATACAACAAATTATATATTTGTACTCAAATAAAATTATTACACCATTTATGAATATGATGTTAAGGTTATACACTTTTTTAATGTTTATCATACGTATTATAAAAACCAATTAATAAATTATTCATATATCGATTAGTCAATAAAATAATATAAACTGATAATTTTCATGTTCTCGACTATATTAATTTATATAGTTCTTATTGTATACTGATGAAGTGCATTAATCCATGGATCTAGCAATTAAATGTTATGAAATTTTATTTAGTTCAAACGTACAATCAATTTTAATTTATTTATAAAACAGCCAACTGTATCCATTACTTCACAATTCGTTTATATAATAAAAATCTCTATTTTAACGACCACAACAAAGCATGTTCAAGTTAGTGAAAAATCAAGAAATTGAAAGATAGAGTCAAAATGTGCATTTGGTCTTTGATTATTGAAACCGACAGAGCATAGGGTCATCATCGTCAACCGCGGGAGGGATTTTAAACGGGCCAAAATGAGCAAAGAAATTTCTTGACAGCAAAATGTGCGATCCATAATTGTGATCAGTGTGGATTGATTGCTAACCAGCGGTCACGACTCGCACTGCGAGATTCCCTTTGAGTCTTCCCAACTGATTACGTCCCATGCATGGAAGCCGCCGGCCCGGCTTACTTCGCTTTCGTCGACGTGATGTTTTATTTTGTCATTATACCCTGTCCTAATACCGGGCATTACACGGTAGGGCTGGCTATTTGATCCGGACTGTTTGGTTTTACCCGAAACCGGACCGTATAACTCGACCGGGACTGGACTGGGACCGGATAGCAAACATCCTATCTCATATTCGGGCTTAGATTTGAGGTAAAAAACCCGGATAAGAGACTCCCAACACCTAAAATCAAGATTAAATTGGGATCGGACCGGGTCAAGACCGGACCGGATCAAGACCGGATTGTATCCAATCCAATCTTTGGTCCTTATATTCCCGAAAAGACCGAATTGACACCGAATCAATTTGGCCAATTTAATCGGACCAAACCGTATAGCCACCCCTATTACACGGTATTTCATTTGATTCGATACATTTTTTTCCTCGCACGAGCTAGCCAGCATCACAAACTTCCATATAGTGTGAGGTTCGAGTCCTCTTCAAGGCATAATATTGTTGGTCTCCACACATTCTTTCGCGCAAGCTACACAAGAGGAAACCCAAAACTAAGAAACGGCAGATCAAAATAGTATTATAGAGAAACAAAATGGTGACCAAAACGACTTCGTCGACGATGCGTTTTCCTTCTCACAGCTTTCTGGTTATTGCTCTCATCATCGTCCTCCAAGTCATCATCGCATTCCCATCCTGCATCTCCGCCAGGAAACTACTCCAGGAAGAAGAGTACTCCTCACCGGCGCCGGCCGCTGCAGAAAGTGGTAAATTTATTTTTATTTTATTTAGACAGGCACATGCAGTTTTCATTAATTTATTGAATTATTATTGAAAAGAATTATTGTTGAATAAGGATATGGTGACGACGAGAACGGTGGCGATGACGGCAGCAAGAGCGGGGTCCAAGGGAGCGAGTCGCGGCACTCCGGGTCAGCCAACGGCGATAAGTCTCCGACCGGCCAGACAGTCGTGATGCCGCCGCCGACGGCCAGGACGGAGGTTTCATACAACACTCCCAGCCAATCGGCTAGCAGTGGGAATTCCGGCGGCGGTTACAATTCGGGAGGCGGATACAACTCCGGCGGCTATAATTCTGCCGGCGGATACTATTCCGGCGGCGGCTACAATTCGGGAAGCGGATACAATGCTGGCGGATACAATTCTGGAGCCGGATACCGACCGGGCTACAACTATCCACAATATCCCTAAGAAATAGCTAAATTATGTATGCTACGGATTTACGTCATAATGTGTCTGTGGCTTCTCTCTTTGATTTTCTTTTACCAATGTCTAAGAAAATTTCGGACTTTATGGTCCTTTGAAAGTTTGGATTGTTGGATAAATATATTGTTATGAATGTATGTGTAATATTATATATATATATTGTCAAATTGGATATATTGTAAAATACAACAATTGGTATGTGTGATTGTGTATGTCGAACGTTGAGTGTAATTTCCCTTTGCTGCACTTCTGGACCCCTTCCCCTTTGGCACCAAGGTTCTTTGGCTGACGGTCGGAGAATCCCCATTGGTCACGATGCATATCAAAGATTTCGAGTCGAAAATGAAGTGTTGGCCTTTTCTGTTTTTTTTTTCTAGTATACTTCCTCCATAATAACATTAAACGGCCAGCGAATCAGGATCATTTCATCGACCACCTTTTCCTTTTAGATAGAAAGGTGTTCTGTCTGGCTTCGCAAGACTCCAGTTCCAGTAAAGCTATTGCTGTAAAATTTGATTTCATTGAGCAAAAGGAAGGAGATTGATGCTGGTTGATGTGACTTGAATCGGACTATCAGCCGCTACGACTGGTAGTTGGGGGTCTCGCCGCCCGGTCAGCGAGTGGGGGCCAGGGGCAACACCCCGGTGGAGGTGCGGGGGCGTTGGGTTCGGGTTATGGGCCTGGTCTGTAACCGTTTCCTTTGCCAGATTGGATTAGGTTTAGACCCACACGGAGAAGCATTATAAATACTTCTCATACTCCTCTGTAATCTGTAATATCCTCGATATAGTGAAACTGGCTCTCTCTCGCCCGTGGACTAGCTAACACACATCGTGTTAGTGAACCACGTAAATCGTGTGTCTGTGTTTTTCGATTCTCGCTTTCGTATTCCTGCTTTATCATTTCCGGCAATTTCCCGATCCGTAGCAGCGCGTTTATAACCATACTTGTACTTGTTGGAAAGTTCCTTGTCTAGCTTATTATTGAAACAAGTGAGAATCTTTAGCGTCTCCAACTTTCCATACTCGTTGGAAACAGGCTTGGTGGAATTGTTCAGCAAAACATCAATTTTGATCAAACCCAACTAGTGATTTCTCCGGCTAATAAATAATGGAAGAGATCTATATATTTTAGATTAGAGAACGACAGCACGGTTCTTGAAATTGCACCTCCTAAATTGTTTTCCGTCAAATAGAGGGGAGGATCCCAATTTTCTGAATCGATGAACCAATTGCACGCAACTCGCAAGCTAGCTACTGTCCGAAGTCTGATAAAATGGAGACGAATCCCTCCGACAATTGAGCCATGCAGCTTTCGTCATATTTTTTTCTTAACCAAGTCAAGAGTTAAAAAGTCAATCATACATAGGAAAAAAGAAGTGTGCGAGAGTCGACCAATAATCGAACCTCCGATGAAAGGACCTTTTGTGCCACGTAGTGGGCAGCCCTATTGAGTCGACGAGAAACAAAATAGAAAGACACTTTGTAAAACGCTGCGATCAAGCTCCGAACATTCTCGAGTATAGCTCCTCCCCGATCATGATTGAGATCACCGGCCCACCATTCGCCGAATTAATAGTTGAGAGTCCCGATGAAAATTAACAAAGAGAAAAGAATGTGTCAGGCACCATTGAACCGCATCTCTTAACGCTAAGCATTCCATAAGAAATGGATCATTAATTCCTTCATAGCACTTCCCAAAAGAAAATAGCATATTACCTGATAATTGGAAGCCAACAAAGCCAATACTCCCTCCCTGACCTCGTTTGGCACCACCATCAAACCAAACGTTAATAGTTTGCGGAGGTAATTCACCATAAGCATTCCCACCACCACCCAAGGGTCGAGCTACATTGATGCAAGGCTGGACATGGGCGCCATGCTGCTGGGGAGGTGGATGTTGCTCCACTGCTCGCCATTCCTCAACTTGTCTCCAAAACTGCCGAAATACTGCTGGTGGGAGATACTAGATATGGTCATGAATCGCCCAACATCTTCCTTTCCACATTCGCCATATAAGAAAGACAACATCAGCTATTTCTATTATGGACAGGTTCATAGAAAAGAAGAGGTGGTTCCATGCAACATCGGATTCATTCCAGCCAAGGTACTGCGCCTGATTTCCAGATTCGCCATCCGCCATAGTGCTCTAGCTATCTTGCAGGAAAAGAAGAAGTGGGAGAAGGACTCTAGCTCCTCCGAACAAATGGGGCAGGTTGAGTTAGATACTAAAGTTTTGGAAAACAAAACAGTTTGCAACGGCAAGAAGCCACGAACCGCCCTCCAAATAGAATTTTAGTCTGGGTGACACAAGTAATTTCCAAAGCAGTTTCCAAAAGGGTGAGTCAAAGGGGAGCTGCACCGGTGGGTATCTCAGGTTGAGTTCTTTTGTCAATAGCTGGTATCCTGTTTTCACTGAATAGATGTCGGAAGGGGAGTAATGTCAAATCAACTTATCTATCGAAAACAAGGTTGGCATTAGAATATAAGCTCTACACTTTCCTGAGTAAACAGGGAGTTAAGCAGAGGTTTATTACAAGAATGTGTAATCGAGCAGGTAAGTTCCGAAACTAATGAAGGACAGGATTGCAAACCAGTAGGGTTGGGAATCCGGTTTCAGTTTTCCGGTCAAACCGAAAACCGGCCAGTTTAAACCGCCCCGGTTGTAACCGGAAACCGGATACAACCCGGTCCAATCCGGATTCCGGTTTCTAGTATTTGGAGAAATACCGTACCAGGTATAACCCGGTTAAAACCGAGGAAAACCGAGAAACTCGGACCAGCCCTGCCTTGCACCAAGCCCAGCTTTGAAGCCCAAATCCCCTCTCAAAATCTCAGCCCAGCACAAACAAAAGCCCAGATACACAAAAACCCTAATCGTCATGGCCATCTAGTCCCTCTATCCCTCACGATTCTCCTCCATCTCCTGTCGCCTCGCGACTCCACTCCTCTACTCTCGAAGAAAAAGTCGATCGGCGGCCGAAATCGCCGCTCAACCATCAAATCAGCCGCCGACTCTCCTCTCCTCCCCGATGGCACCGAGATGCCCCTTTTGTTCATGGGCGCGATCTCCTCAAGGCGACAGTGACAGCGCAAAGGCGACGGTGATTTCAGAGCTGAAACAACTCTCGATCTGGGCCACAAACCAGTGCTGGACCTCTCTCTCACCGGCGATGCGGCGCAAGCGAGCAATTGATCTTTCTTGACCTCCTATGTTGAGGACTTGAATGGCGGTGGAGGGATGGTCGCATTTCTGCTGCGGCGAGGGAGGTGCGAAGATGAAAGCGAAGGTGAAGGATGGATCGATGAAAATCGGAGATAGGGATTAGGGGTATTTTTTTTAGAAGAGAGCGGCGGCGTAGATTGGGGAAGGGAATTGAGATGGTGAGGAGAATTAGGTTTTCTTTGAGTGTGTGTGACTGTGTGACGGCAGCGTTTTTTGGGAGGGAATAAATAGCTCTAGTTTTCCGGTCAAAACGGGACCAAATCGTATCTCATCCAATCCGGTTTGGTTTAGACCGTGTCCCAATCCAATCCCGTCCACGGTTGGGCATAAGTCCAATCCGGTCATAAAAAACCGGGTCAATTCGGTTCGGTTTAAACCGAACCGGATTGTTTCCCAGCCCTACAAACTAGGATTGCCATCTTAATCCACGAATCAACAGGTTCTTCCTTCCAAGACACTATGCCAAGCCCACGAGGGTCGATAGTCGCCTGTTGCTTCGAGAAAGGGCAGGTGGGGGTGGTATCGCGCTCTATAAATTTGAGCAATGAAGCTGGACGGATTGTAGAGAAGCCTCCATGCCTGCTTAGCCAAAAGAGCAATATTGAATTAGCTAAAATCTCGAAACCCAACCCACCCATAAATTTACTTTGACAGACTACACTCCAAGAGATCCAATGTATGTCTGTCTCCTTGTCCTGTCCTACCCACCAAAACTTCGACAGCTGCCCATTACACCTATGACAGGCCTCGTGCGGAAGTCTAAACGTCGACATAGCATAGATTGGACTTGCAGCTCCAATCGCTTTGATAACCACTTCTTTCGCCTCTAGGGACATGGCCTTAGTCTTCCAGCTTCGAATTCTATCAGCCAAGTCCTCCTCAATTAACTAAAACGACAAGGTCTTAGAGCGTCGAATCTGGGATTGAAGTCCCTAATACCCGTTGGCCACTATATATTTCGTATTCGGATAACAATTGCAATTAAGTATCACATTCAGGGATAGATGCTCGGAGGAACAAATATCAGTCATCGACAAAAAATAAGTGTGATATGGGAGGACGTTAAGTTCATGGAGTGAGGAGCCAGCAAGTGCTTGGCTGATTTTTGCTGCAAAGGCTTTGGTGCAAATGGAAAAAAGGAGGGGCGATAGAGGGTCACCTTGATGGATACCTCGTTGCGGTTAAAATTACCCGTATTCAGCTCCATTGAGTAAAACCGAGAACTTAACCGTAGTGATGCAAGCCTTGATCCATTTCATCCGGTGTTGACAAAATCCATTGATTTCATAACTTGAAAAAGGAAACTCCATTCCACACGGTCATACGCTTTCTCCATGTCCAGTTTCAGCGCCATCCATTTTTCGTTTCCGCGAATCTTAGTCTTCAATAACTGCATAAGTCCTTCTTGCAGGGGTCTTCAGGATTTGGGCTTCATTGGCCCTCCCTTCACTTGGTCCAACCGGCAATCAAATGGTGACCATATACAATCCCGTTTGGATCGATGTTTGGCTAATCATCAAGTTATTTTCTTGTGGCTGGAATTGCAGGTACTTCACCTCTCTGATCGAGGCTCAGACCATAGGATGTTGCTGGTACGGCTTGTAGAACTAACTGATCGACGAACTAAGAGATTCCATTACAACAACTGGTGGGGAACAAACTCTGATGTGCCCCCTCTTCTTCACCTGGCGTGGCAAAAAACAGTCAGTGGCACCCCCCTTATTTAAGGTCCAATCACAACTAAAACATGTGAACGGCTATTTGCCGCCAATCAAATTGCTATTTGCCGCCAACTAAAAAAAAAAAAAAAGAATTCAAAATTTGAATTTTCTATTCCTTCCCAGTGCCTCCGTCGCCGGTAAAAAAAAAAAATTTAATTTTGAATTTTCCCTTCCTTCCCGGTGCCTCCGTCGCCGGCACCGTTCTTCCGTCGTCGGCTAACCTCCCGTCGCCCTCAATCGTCAGAAAACAAGTAAGTTTACTTTTTCCGGCCAGTTTTCCAGTTTTCCGGTAAGTTTTCCAGTTTTCCGGCGAAAAACACGGGGGGCTGAAAAAAAATTGCGGCCCGAACGTCGCCGAGCCGAAAAAAATTTGTGGCCGGGACGACGGCCGGCCGAAAAATTCTTTCGGCCCGGCGAGGCCACGGCCGCAAATTTTTTTCGGCCGGTCGCCGAACACGCCGGCCAAAAATTTTCCGGCGGCGTGTTCGTCGGCCGGCCGAAAAAAATTTGCGGCCGGAGCGACGTTGGGCCGAAAGAATTTTTTTCGGCCGGTCGCCGAACACGCCGGCCAAAAAATTTCCGGCGGCGTGTTCGTCGGCCGGCCGAAAAAAATTTGCGGCCGTGGCGTCGCCGGGCCGAAAGAATTTTTCGGCCGGCCGTCGTCCCGGCCACAAATTTTTTTCGGCTCGGCGACGTTCGGGCCGCAATTTTTTTTCGGCCCGCCGTGTTTTTCGCCGGAAAACTGGAAAACTGGCCGGAAAAAGTAAACTTACTTGTTTTCCGACGATTGAGGGCGACGGGAGGTTAGCCGACGACGGAAGAACGGTGCCGGCGACCGACGATTGACTTGCCTCGCGCCCGATCTTCGTCCAATCGACCCCGAACTCGCTAGAAATCCATAATGAAATTCATAAGTTCATAATGACACTAGGGTCATTAAAAATACAACTAGAAAAACAACAACATATAAATAGAGCATTGCAACACGACACACGATTTACGTAGTTCACTAACACGAAGTATTTATAGTACTTCTCCATGTGGGTCTAAACCTAATCCAATATGACAAAGGAAACGGTTACAGACCAGGCCCAGAACCCGAACCCAAATAACATTGAGCCCATACACCGTGGGCCGGGGGCGTTGCCCCCGCACCCCCACCGGGGCGTTGCCCCTGGACCCCCGGTCAGCGAGACCCCCGATTACCAGTCGTAGCGGCTGATAGTCCGATTCAAGTCACATCAACAAAGGGTTTAGGGTTCAAGGTTTAGGGTTCTGGGTTCACTTAGGGTTTAGGGTTTGAAACACATGGTTCGTGTAGCACTTTGCCCACATTGTTTGATGGTTAGTGATGATTCATGGATGCGTGTACGCATTATATGTCGAGGATAGGTTTTCCCGATGATTTTCCGACGACTTTTCCGGCGAGCGTTGAATTTTTCTGATTCAATACGTTCTCTGAAAGTTGGATATGTTGTAGATTGTGAAACTCCTTAACCAAAGATGTATATATATACATTTTTTTTCATCGATGATTTTCCGGCGACTTTTCCGGCGACTTTTCCGGCGAGCGTTGAATTTTTCTGATTAAATACGTTCTCTGAAAGTTGGATATGTTGTAGATTGTGAAACTCCTTAACCAAAGATGCATATATATACTTTTTTTTTTTGGTTGGCGGCAAATAGCAATTTGGTTGGCGGCAAATAGCAAGCCCCCTAAAACATACCCTGCAGGAGCTGTTGGGATGGGCTAAGTCTGGCACTACCAACTCAGCACGCATAATCCGGGAGATCAAAGGTGCTATCGAGACAACTAGGGAAGCAACTGCGTTTGATTGGGATGAGATTGCTAGATTAGAGTCTTAGTTAAACGAAGCATACCGACATGAGGAACTCTACTGGAAACAGAAATCGCGAACTAATTGGCTACAAGGAGGGGATGCCAATACCTGTTTTTTCTACTTGATGACGATGCAACGACGGAGAGCAAACCTCATTCCTACACTTCGAGACGAGCTGGATGAAGTACATACGGAGGAGCTAAAGAAAGGGGAAGTATTTGTTTCCTATTTCCAATTTTTATTCACTTCCAATGGACTAGATCCATAAGCTTTTGTTGCTAGTTTAAATATACCTATAAAGATTACTGCAACAATGAATAGTATTCTCACTGCTCAGGTGTCTAGCTTGGAAGTCAAGGAAGCTTTCTTTAGCATCGGGAAAAACCAACCGGGATCCGACGGGTTCATTTCTGGATTCTATCAACGTTTCTAGGACGAGATCAGATCAGATGTCTCTGTTGCGATCCTTTCCTTCTTTCAGATGGGACGACTTCTCCATAGCATCAATCATACGTTACTCACACTCATACCTAAAGTGGCCAATGCAGATTCAATGAAGCAAATGAGGTCGATTAGCCTCGGCCAGGTTCTGTATAAAGCCATATCTAAAATCCTTTCCACGAGGCTAAGTTCTATTCTTCCCCATGTTATTAGTCCATTTCAAAATGGGTTTGTGAAAGGTCGTTGTATTTCCTCATATTGATCATTACATATAACTGCTTTCTAACTTAAATTGGTGTTCACAATGTGAACGGGGTCAAAATAAGTGGTTTGTGAAAATGTTAGAGTAGTGAACAATTAGTAAAATACCACATTTGTGGGAGAAAAAAGTGCAAGTGGTTTATAGCCTAACTCCTTACTTTATAGAATAAAGTAATAAGTGAGATTTGGAGTGAGTGTGTGTCATTTAATTTGACACATTAAATTGCACTTAGCACTTAACACTTTTCCACGACGAACATGATGTATTACTAAGGGATGGGATTAGGTGCTAACCCTTATAGGGGTTAGCACCGTGATAACTAGCAAAAAACGCTACTAAAAATAACGAAATCACTTCGGAATCTAAACTAAATCACTACTAATTCAAACTAGTAGTAGTTTTCCCCTTGGTTAGGACGTTGCTAACTATTGTACAATTAGCACCGTAACTCCTCCCTATTACTAATCAAGTGCATTGATATGTGGATCTTGCAATATTGAATGTTTTTATTTTGTTCATGGTACAAAAAAAAAAATTAAGATGTAATGGTATGCATGAATTTTAATAGATTATATAACAATATAAAAAATAGATTATCACATGTTCACCTTTACAATGAGGTTGATTTAGTCAACTTCTGGAAACCTTGCACAAATATGTATGCGTTGAAAGACACTCTTTAGTGTTTAAGTTAGAAAGAGATGAGAGTAAAAGTAGAATATATAGAGAGGGAAGTAGTTGAACTTCCATTAAATGTTCACTAGAGTAATTAGTAGCTTTTTTACTACAAAGGTGATGAACTCAATTAAAAGGAAACCAAAGGAAAGTTACATCCCACAGAATCACAAGAAGTTTGTTGACGCGTCAATTAGAAAATAAAAATAAAATTTATCCTAGATGGCAGTTAACTATAATGTTTGACCGATAAGTTTCCTGACGTGTCAATTAGAAAATAAAAATAAAATATAGTTCCTTAACAATGGATGCTTAATTGAAGCAAAGCACAAATATATACCAATACTATAGGCCAATCGAAACGACCGTTGGGTTTTAGGGACTAGATTGAAACAAGAAGAAAGTTTGGGATCTGTTACTGTGAGAGAAGGAAATTGATGGCGAATTGAAGGCAACTTCGCTTCGTCTGCATTTGCATTTTTGTGTGTTCTTACACACAGAGCATGCTTATGGCCATGGCTATTTGTAGCCCGATACTTTTGGAAAATTGCTTCCAAAGTATGATGGCAATGGCTATTGACATGCTGCTGATTAATTTGTCAAGCCAGCCTCATGATTTAAGTTTGTGCTATATATCATATCGTCTCCAAGTGAAGAACACAAGTTTTTCTCCAAAAAAAAGTGAAGAACACAAGCCAGTGAGCCCACCTAGGGGTCGAAATTGGGGTGGGTGTGGTTATCCACCCCACATTTTGCGGGTAACCACATCCACAAATAAAGAATTATGTTATCCACAACCCGCCCCGCAGTGGGTAGTGGTTAACCACTACCCGCTGCGGGTTGGTGCGGATTGGTCGTGGATATCCACAAAAATTTCACATTAAAAATAATAATATGGTAATTAAATAGTGATCTTGTGTTTCTTCTCACACAAATACAAAAACATACATAAAAGAAAGTTAATAAAGTGTTAAATAATTATAAATCTCGAATACAATAGGTTAGTTAGTATAAATTCAAAAGAGATGGATTTGGAAAGAGATTTGAAGATAACGAAGAGGCGGAAAGATATGTTACCCGACTAACATCGATGCATGTCACGGCTCCTCCGATGACAACAACAGCAAAACACAAAAGTGGCTCGATAAGTGGAGGCACCCACTTTTAATGAATCTATTATTCTCCTCTCTCGATAATAGTCATGTATTGTTGGTAGTTGTTTGCATGTTGTGTTGTTCATGAGTTCGTGGAGAAATGGAGATGAGTTTGGGTATCGGACTAACCTTTATTGATTATTCTCCTCTTTTAACGAATCGATTAATTTATTTGACTATATCTATGGACTTGGTTTTGTTATAAAATAAACATATACCATAGGGACAATGCTTATTTAATAAAAGTATCTCACATGAACATTGCGTATTGACTTGGTTTTGTTTTATAGAATAAGTGCATATTTGATTTGGTAGCTACTTTAATTCTTAGTCTTCCAAGTTTCACAAACTAATATAGCTAATGTGGGTTACAAAGTATTTTGAAAAAATAAATATAACTAATGTGGTTAATGTGGGTTTTGTGGGTAAACCGTTGTGGGTAGTGGTTAACCACTAACCAAAAAATCAATATTTTGATACCCACACCCAACCTACTATCAACAAATTATGGATATGGGTATCCGCAAAGTGTGCGGTTTGGTGCGGTTTGCGGGTTACCCACAACCCGCAAACCAAACTTCCACCCCTACCACCACCGGAGCTCCTTCCTAACTGAAACCGAAACACACGCGCGGAATGCAAAAGCTCACATGTTTGTTCTATTGATAATGTAATAGGACAAACACAAATTTTTTGTTGAATTGAAGCTGACAGAAAAAATCACATGCTTGCTTCCCTAATCATTATATTAATTAAGAAAAACCAGATAGTTTTCGTATCCTCTGCTCCGCTCAGATGCTAGGTGATTCAGGTCTTCATGTACGCTTTTTATCCCCATTTTCTTTAGGCGTTTGAGACATTTAAACTCCGAGAGGTGTGGTTTTACGCTAGGTTTGCCGTTGATAACGTCGTATTTGCACATGTTTGCACCCTCGTTTCTTCATCATTTTGGCTAGAGTTTTTGATTTCTTGGACTATTTTACGCTAGGTTGTGTTCCTTTGTCACATTTCAGGTCCTAGCATGTAAATTGGAGCAAAGGCGCAGTTTCAAGTCAATCGGAATTCATTTGGCAATTCGGGAGAAGAAACACGAGCATGACCTGAGGAATAATGGATTTCTACCTCATTTTATGGACAAATAATCATGGAAGTTTGTTATGAAAAGAAAGAGGACGAGACTATGAGCGTCCGGGTTCAAACGGCGACTGATTCGGAGTCCGAACGAGGGAGAAATGAAGCATTAAACATGAGCGGAGGAAGAATTACGGGCAGTCCCTGCCCAATTACGGGCGTAATTGCTTCTGTCATGCCCGTAAATGCAATGCCGAGCCTAAATCCCTGAGAATTCCTGTCGTAAAGCAAATTACGGGCAAGAGTGGACTCATTTACGGTAGTAATTACTTAAATACTGGCAGTAATTGGGTAATTACGACCGTAAATACCTTCCTCAGAGTTTAGTGAAACGCGCGTTTTGGGTGAATAACGGGCAGACCATGATTACGGCCGTAATTCAGCCCGTATTTCACCCAGAATCGGGTTTTTGAGGC